CAGGGTTCCCACTACTCATATACTTGATAAAGTCAAAGAAACTAAAAATGTCTTGACCCAGTAGGTACACTTACAGGGCTGATACCCCTTGAGCCTTCAAGTCTCCTGCAGAAGATGTTTACCTGCCCTACAATTCATTCATGAAAACCTCAGTTTCATTGGGACTATTCTAGTGGTCAGGGCCAGTAGTAAGGCTGCGTGGACTGTGGCCCCTGAGGTATACAATACACAGTTTTGACCTTCATACACCAGTACTGAACCACAGACAGAACTATTGGACTTGCTTTGAAAGAGACGCCTTTACACTGAAATAATCATCACAAAGTTTAGTGTTTCCCATCTCATTGCCAATCTGATCAAATTTTAAGAGCTTTCACCAAACTTCCTTAATTTTCTTGAGATAATAAACAGCTAATCAGACATATGTCATAAAAGTATCACGTTGAGGGTATGGCACATCAAAAATAAAGAAGTCCTTCTGCACCTTTACCCCCAAGAGGTACTTGTATGTGTTTCAATAAAACAGCAGTGGGGTACCCATAACGGGAAGGCACCTGGTGAAGTCAGGGACATTCTCGAACCCCACAGGAGTATCTGCACTGGCCACTCACTCCTTCCCTACCTCTCTCCCGCCTCAAATTCAGATTACTTCTCTGTTCCCTCCAGCTACAAATGTCTTAATTCTTCTCTTTTATTATCTTTCAACATGTCCTTAACGCCCATTGGGTACGATTTTAACCGAGTGGCAGCATCCTGGGTCCAGGTTCAACTCTGTTACCTAAGTAGACATAAGCCTGAGATATTCAAGGTTCCTAAGTCTTAGTTTCCTCTTTGAAAATGTTCATAACCAGGGTATCCATCTTTCACATACATACTTTGAATATTTGGTTATAAGAAGGTAATTCAGCACAATACATGAGGAGTAAAATTCCACATTTGTGCTATTAGCCATCTTGTCTTTGCTATTATAATGGAAGCATACATGTGCGTGCACACACAGGCACACACACACACCCCCCAGTTGGTGTTTCTATTAGAAATGCAAATTTTACAGTTAAAATACCCAACACCAGGAAAATGGACAGATAAATTATGACACATTCATAGCATGGAATTATAGAATGGCATTTAGCTAACACATGAATAATGAAAATAAGTCAGTACAGATATGACCCTAAGACACTAATTTTATAAAGAATGACTGCTAAAAAGGGATAAAATTGGGCAACAGGGTTAGTTTCCGATATTTGGAAAATACTGGATTTTATGAACCTCAATATACAGCCATGTTCGGACCAGAGGAAAAACAACTTTTTCCTGACCCTCATTCTTCCCTCACCATAAATATCTAGACTCCCTCCCTGTCCTTCCTGGGACTTGTTAGGTTTTCCTTCAGCACCTCCCACTTTTCTGTGGCTGTTTCACTGGACAAAACCTATGGCCTCTTCAGTATTTTTCTCATGGAAGGACTGATTCTCATCCACCTCTAATCAAACCAAGTCCCGGGGCCTCCTCTTCCTTCTCATGGTCGTCCTTAGCTGATCACGTGCCCCAGGGTGCCTTTCCTTAACCTCTCCTTCTCCTCTAGGTCATTTCTCTAGGTCTTCGATCCAATTCATCACTTGATTGTAATTATCATTCATCTATGCACTAGTGCTTAATAAGTCCCAGTCTCATTTTCAGTGCCAGACTCCACGTGGCTCTAAACAAAGCTCACACCTAGAACCCTAACTCCTACTTTGTATCAACTCTTTGAGAGAACATGCCTTTCAAATAGTCTAAAGTAAAAAGATCATCGGATAGCCATTTGCCTTAATCTAGAGGACCTATGGTTACTATCAACACTGTCCCTTCCACCTCTACCTAATGGTCATGTGCCAATGGCTGTCTCAGTTCTGTCCACGCCTCTCCACAGAGCTCTGCCTCTGTGACGATTTCGTTTTCTCCTTCTTGGACTGCTGTGAAAAGTTCCTAAATGGTCTACTTTTGCAGGTTCTCACAATTCAAAGAGTTTCTAGGTACTGTATTTTGATAAACCCAAACCTGTCCTTGTTACTTTGTGCCTTCTCCACAGGCTCATCGGTAGAGACTTGAGCTTTCACCTTCTAAGTTATTGCAGTGGGCCTGGAACACATGGTTCATGTAACTTCTCCACCTGTATCTTCTGTGTGAGTAAAGCTGTCATCATACCAAACATCTTACTAGTTCCCAAACAAGATCTATGATGACCTGCTACCATGCCTCTGCATCTGATGCTCTCTTTGGTTGGAACATTATTCCAATTTCTTCATCTAATAAGCTATTCATTTATCAACAGCTTTGAGATTTTATCTTTGATGTTCTATGGGAAAATTAAGGCTTTGGTAGCTCAGACTCCTACTATACTTGGGCAGTATAACATTTTCCATTTATGACGCTTCTTAATTCCTCTTTCTCCAAGTGATTGAAAGCGAATTAAAGGCAGTTGTCACATACAGTGAACTTCATGCTCTTAGCAAATATCTGAAACTTTTGTGGGATGGTAAACTACAATGAACTATGAGGTCAGAGGCCACACCCATCGTCTTATCAACCACAGTTTTGATCTAATATTTATAAGGGAAAAGAGGGTAAGAAAAGAAAGTAAGACTTTCTTTCTAGTCCACATGGATCAAGCAGTTCTACCAGAGCCTTTTCAAAACCAAAGGTACAGAGTCGCCCTTGTGCAATGCTGAAACTTTGTCCACTGTGATGCTGGCATCAGTGCCTAGACTGAGGGATTCCCTTGCTAATTGGGCAGAGAGAGGAAAGGAGCTTATCAGAGGCTCCTCTTCCCATTTCTACCCAGAAGGATGGTGCCGTGGAGTTCTGTGGAGAGCACCGTACTGCTGCCAAATCAAACGCTCCAGGGCGTTCGAGCTTCCGCGGCAGTTTCAGGGTCCTGTTACTCCACTATGCTTTGGCGTCTTTCCTGAAAATATTTACCAAGACATCTACACATTTCCTTAAATCCAGCAGATCTGAACATAATCCAAATGTGGTCAGGTGACTCTAGGAGGATGAGTGTTTTCTTTAATCTGTATCACTTCTGTTTGTCCTCTACACGCTGAAGAAAGAATCAATATAGCATTTTCTTAATGATTTTTTCAAATATATAGAAAATGCATTAATGTCCCCTTGAAGTTACGTATTCTCCAAACAAATTCTCTTGCTCTTTACCGGTCTCGTGTGACATGATGTATAGCTTATGTCCATGACAGCCTGCTTGTTCTCCTCCAGGTGATGCCAGCTGCCCAGGTTTCTCTTACAGTGTGCTGTCTAAGGAAATGTGAATCAACCAACAGTGCTGAAGACCCAGAGGTGCCTCGTAGATTCTCTAGTCTCTAGATAAGGAGTCAAGCTGGACAGGTATTTGGGAGGGTCAACCTATATTACATGTTTATACCGAACTCTAGTCAGTTCAAACGCTTAACTCTTGTGTTAGTTTTAGTAACTAAATTAAATAATTAGATTATTCTCCCCAAGGACACCAGAGTCATGATCTTCAGAAAGAATTCACAGGATAATAATCTAAAGTACTGTTCATTTTCACTGACTAAGTCTTAGGACTGACTGGTTCAGGATATTACCAAGAACGGCCCTGTTTAACAACAGAGTTCAACAACGTATCTGACCCAGTCCATACAAAACATATAACAGAGATCCTGGATAAAGTATGTACAGAAAAAGCTTCAAGATCTGAAACGAAATATGATACTTTTGGTATCCTTAAAGTAAACCCAGCGTTATTGTGAAGCTAATTCAAATGCCGTGTTTGCAGTAGACCAGAACCTCTCAAGGCTGATCAAGAAGCAGATGTTGATGAGAATTAGGAAGAGGGTTAGCAAAATTAAGGTGTGACATTTCAGGACCGTGAATTTACAACCGTAAACTGATTTCTGAGCTCTTACATGACAGCAACATCATCTCCGATAAAAAGCACACGTTCCTTTACTTGACCCATAGTCTTGGTAGGGATAGGTAGAGTGTGTGTCGACCAAAGGATGACTAGGACTCTATTACGAGCTGCTTTTTCTCAGGAAGTAACCGGGAATGGCTTTCCGGCAAACACATTTTAGGGGATGACATCCTAGATTCAATGCAAATTTGGGCCATATTTTTTTGCAAATTTGGGCCATATTTTTTTGCACTATCAAGTTATTTAGCTCTGAATGGACAAGAATCTGGGGTCTCCTTTATTTGCCACAATGTGTATCTAAGGAAAGCACAACCAGCTTATCTGAACATTAGCCTGGGTAGGAGCGATGCAAACAGTGACCTGTGTGGGTGAAGGCAGAGGTGTTGGATGGACAGAATGATCTCAGGAAGAAGATTTTTACTAAGTAAGATGCTGAAGGGACAAATGTTCTCCAGAGCTACAGAGCTCTAGCTACACCCTAGTCCTGACAGCCCTGACATTTATTTATCATGAACTACACTGGCAAAACTAATTCTTGTGAGAGTCCATTACTTAAAATTAAGCTTAAAAAAATTCACCCTAAGAAAATTGCCAATTTGAGGAGGCAAACATGGGGACTGGAAGCATTTAACAAATACAACATCAAGCAAAAGAACTGAGGTTTGGTGACATAAAATGTCAGAGCACTTTTACAACAAAACTCGGCTCTTCCAAAAGCAATATAGAGCTCAGTTCAGAAGACACACACACATTCACTTACAAATACAGCACACACATAATCACTCCGGGAGCAGCCAGTTACTACACACCGTGCATCAACTGAACAGTGCGATCCATCTAAATTACTACCGCACAAACCATACTTGCCCCTCCCTGTCTTATTAATTTTCTCTCAAGGGATGGCTTTCTAAAAAGGAAAAGAAAACAAATTCATAAGAATTTCTGAATTCCAAGGTAAAGCAACAGTCAAATACATACACAACATTTAAAACATTTATAAGAAAGTGATAAACGTACAAGACTTTCTTGGTCAAATATAAGGAAGATTCTTTTTTAGAGGTACCTGCAAAATGTGACTTCCCAAATGTGCTTCAAACACTTCGATGGCTAGTGCGCTCGGGCTTCGCCTTCGCTGTGCGCCTATAACTTGAAAGAAAAGAGAGAGAGAAAGAGAAAGAGAGAGAGAGAGAGAGAGAGAGAGAGAGAGAGAGAGAAGAAAAATAATTAAGTTGGAGCTCTGGTTTCATCCAGCTTAATTTCTCTCCACTTGCATTTACCACATTGTCACAATGTCATAGAGATTTGAAAGAAACACTGTCCAGCATCAATTTGGCTCCCGAGTTATCTGAACGTTAAGTACAGCCCTGAATATCAACATCTATAAACAATTTTTTACAAAATTCAAATATTTGCCTTTTAGATTGTTTTTCCTATATTGAAGTAAAACCACATAAATGTTCATATTTCCTTAAAACAAACTAGCATAGATTTTCTATAATTTGAGGTATTAGGTTTTTAAGCATTTATGACATTTGTCCAAGAGAAAGATGAAGTTTTTATATCCTCTAAGCTAAGAAAGCCTGATAGGATACTTCTAGTTTTTACCAATGCACTAAGTTCATCTCAGTTTAGAATGGTATGTGTCCAGTTACAGCAGTGTCTCGAGAAGACTGGGTTCCAAATCTGAGTACTCTTCGTGACTGGTGAACAACACCAAGTAGTTGTTCGGCCCCTGGCCAGCGTGCACCTTCCAGCCAGTGGCTGTGTCTTGTGTGGAACTTCCAGTTACCACTGTTTTCCCGTCTTAGGGTGAATCTGCAGGCACCTACCTCTCAAGAAAATCCCGTAAGTAAAGTGGACTCCAGGAACAGTATCGGTAGACTCTAGGATCGCAGACGCTTTGTTTTCAATCTTAATGGGGGGGGGGCAACTTGCTGCTCTATGGGTGTTTACTCTTCCTTTCATATAAAAAATAACTACCATACTAATCTGTTTGCTTTACAGAGACTTAAGAAAGGCTATATTGAGATCTTTTCCATATTTCTGAAAAGCAAATTCTTCATACCCTGCTTTTCTTGAAGATCTTATTGCAAAACACTGTTTCTTTATCTATGTTCTCCTCATTGAAAGTAAAGTCAGAAGGCCTAGCTTTGTTACATCAGCTGCTGGACAAGAACATTCCAGGAAGCTGCTCCTGCAGGAGCACCGCTTCATTTTAGTTACCAAGGCCATCACTCGGATCCAAAGCTCGGTAGGGCCTATACCGTCAATGTGCATGATTATTGTGCTGTGCGAGTAGGGGGCTAACCCTTGTTAGTGAGGGGTAGTGTCTGAAAGGCATTTTGAAATAGCACGAGTGTCAAGTACCATCATTACAGCGAGAGAAAAATAAAAGGGACATTTTCTCAATGGGAAAATTTATAAAACATAATTGAAGACAGATTATTATTGAAGACTATTCCAGCTGGAATCTCTAGTCCAACACCCTCATTTGCTTCAGAATAAAAACACATAGCTAATAACTTTAAAGCAGAAAACTCTTGTTTCTAGCCCGAGATCAATCTTTATCATAGGTACGGACATGGAATTGTTTTTCATATCTAGATATGTGAAGCAGCACTGTTGTGTTATGTATGTGCACGCGCTTCTGATTAATTTCCTATTCTAACATGCACATTACTCCCTTCAAAACTCCTGTGGCATTTTTGATAATGCAGCTGTCTTGCTGAATACTGTTTTCAGTTTCTAGAGTGTTAATTGCACATTATGGTCGCTTGGTGCGAACGATCCCACATGAATAAAATCTGCACCCCCCCCCCTTTTTTTCAAGATTATGGGGTGGGTGGCTTTTGGGAGGGGGGAGAGCTGAAAAACTTCCAAAATGCCCACTCTTTCTGAGACAGTCACTAGGATTCAAAGAGATCCGTACTAATAGTTCAATGTTTAGGAAAAACTTCAGGGATTTTGATTGCAAGGCACAAAATCAATCATCGCATGTCATTTAAAGATGTATCAATGTTAGACTTTAGACCACACAAACTACTTTGTGAAGAAATGGAGGAAGAGAGGACTGTGAGCGGGACAAACACTGACAGTGGAGAGCCCTCTGTATCCCAGGGAATGTGAGGAAGTGTGTATTTGCTAGAAGGCCCAGGAGGCAAGCTCTAGCAAGGGCAGATGGTAACTCAAACACTTTCAGAAGCTGGGAAACAGTTGTTTTGAATAACATGCAGGCATTCCCCCAGCCTGGCTAGTGCTGGCCTTTCTTCTCCCGCCTTCCCTCCACCGAGGCCCAGGCTGCTGTGCAAATGACTGCCTTCATCAGGTCCTGCATCCTGGAATCTGACCTGAACAGTATTCTTTGTTCTCCAGATCCTCTGGAAACCTCATTGTGCATCCCCATACATGCTAGCATAATATACAAGTATCTTGTAAGTAGTTTCATGCTATTCTATTCAGTGGCAGTTTTATGGCCCTGGAACTTCTCTTGATTTATCTGTTTTGCACTTAGGCAGGTGATGTGGGGCTGTAATGACAGTTCCTAATTTTACAACCAACATAAATATGTTAAACAGGAGCCCATTATGCCCCTGGTAGGAGCCCTGCTTTACCTCTAGCATTATTGGTAACTGAATAGATGTTAAATATAGACTGCTTTTCCTGCACTTATCCTTTGGTGCTTGGCATTTTGAGAATCGGCACACTTATAACTCAGGAACAATGTAAACAGTTATTTTGTTTCTCTGTGCTAATCTCATTGTGTTTACAGAGTGTCATTAATGCCTGAAGAGGAACTAAAGGGCATCTTCACAGTGAAGTCTGTCATCCTCAGCAAACTAATATGGTTTATGAATCTGCCCCTGGTTATGTTGACAACCTCCAGCAGTAAGTGGTAACTAGTACTGGGAAATAATACACAAAATCAAAGATACTCTTCAATAACTTAAAACTAGGTCCAGCATGTAACTATCCTTAACAAACACCACTGTCTCATATTTTATAGGAGTTAAAAATGAAGCACGTAGAGTGTCAGAGATTTTAAAGGGGAAAAAATATACAGGGAAAGATGATTTTTTTTGAAAAAAAAAATTGACTAAGGAAATCCCCATCTCCTGTTTCAGAAGTCCACGATGGTGTGCTGAACCATGAGGATGAGGCATTTGGTGATGCTTTCATTAAAAAGCAGATGTGGAAGGAAACCACACACCTGGAGAAACAACTTTCGTCCCTCAGCAATGTCGGCCAAAACTTTCCGTTCCGGGCTGCCACAACTGCACAAACTACACAAAGGCCCCTGGAGAATGAATTCTGTGCAGTAAAAGACAATCCCTCTTTCAAAAGCGTACTCCACACGACCAGTCCTATTTGTAACTGGTGCTCCTGACCTCCAGGGATGCGTGAACGTGAGGAAGGTTGAGGATCAGCGCTCAGTGGGAGTTTGACCTATTCAGCGTAAAGGTCAACTTGCCATAGAAGAACCCATTACAAGTAGAAACCGGACAGCTCAGTAGACACACATAATGAAAGGCGCGAAGTCATGGGCTCTGGTTGCCTTGAGGCCTGTGTTGCCCTTTTCTTCCTCCCCACGCTGCCCTCCCCAGCACAGTCCACAGTGCGTAGGGCAACTTTGGCAGGGGATTTGCTGCCAAAGGCTCCCTTGAGAAAGGTCTTCCTCAGTGGTGAGTGTGGACAAAGGTAAAAGAGACATTAGTTGACAGTGAAGTTCATTCCAAAGTCACTCTCTCATCCCTTTCCCAACACGGCAGTAGAGCTCACCCAAGGTGAATGCAGCCCCTAAGTTCTACGGGCAGCACCCCAAAAATGGGCTCCTCCACTGGGTGAAAAGGCAAGCTATGTGCCTGGCCAAGTCTGATGACTGACTCCTGAGTCCTTCATTCAAGGGGCAGTGTCTGTTTCCACACTGAGCCTGGGGGATGGAAGGCCCCAAGGAGGTGCTTAATGGAGTCCCCAGACTGTGCTCCCTGAGCTGTGGCACTTAGGCTCAGCAAAGCCAGGGTCTAGGAAAGAACAGAGGAGGGGATGCTTAATGAATTTTCCCATGGCTACCAAGCCTTGAAGAATCTCAATCAGCCAGGGAGGCCAGGAAGGGTTTTCTCGGGAGCTGCAGTAGTTTATAAGATACATATGTGTGGGGGTGTGGTGGGGGTGTGTGTGGGTTAGTGTTTCCCTACTGAAAAATTTCTAATGCCTTCATGTAACATTGGACTAAATGGTCATTCTGAATCCGGCCTACATAGCTATGCCCAGTGTCCACAGTCATAAGCGGTCTCCATTTCACTAACCTCTTTGTTGTTTACACATTCCTCACACACAGGGAATTGCAGGTTTGGGGAAAAGTCACCAAAACCAGACTGGGTACCAGCTTCACCACAGCAGCACTGCGATTAAACTGCCGTTGGAAGCCTAAGTGTGGTGTGAAAGCCTGTGGAGCGTCCACGTGATACAGCCTGTAAATACGGAAAACAAATGCCCACCAGGCCCTTCCATGTGCTTTCACCAAGATTAGCTGCCGCCATTTAAAACAGAGGCTGATGACCAGAGAAAACTGGGAGTAAGTATTGTTAATCAGGCAATGCAAGGGCCTGATTAAACATACAAGAAGAGAAACTCTTCTATAATCAGGAATATTGAACTCTGGGCTTATTTTTAATGCCTATTTTGAGATTTTTTTTTTTTAGAGACTCCTTTAAGTTCACAATCTGTACCCCAGAATCTATTAACACATAGACTACTACCAATCCCGACAAAGGAAGTATTTAATCCAAGAAAATGATTGAGTTTTCAGCAGCATGAAGCTGTGCCAGGGGTGGTGGATGCCACGGGGAAACTGTTTCCAGGCTCTGGGAGCTTGCTCATATGAACTTAGCAGTGGTGACAGCATGCACAAGACCCATGCAGACTCAAACCAGACAAAAACCCAGCACAGAAATGGGGACATGGGTAAGAAGTCCCAACCTTAGCCAAGGAACTCTTGGCAACTGATCACTGCTGAGTGAGAGAAAGTTGGTCTTCTCTAAGGGAGTGACGCTGGATAAATTGACTAGGCTCCAGTGAATGCAGTCACAGTGAGGGACATTTGGGGACACAAACTTGACTCGATAGGACTTAACATATATGAC